TTATTTACTGTAGAGATGAGGTCTCACCAAGTTGCCAAGACTGGTCTTGAACCCACGGGCTCAGACAATCCACTCTCCTTGGCCTCCCAAAGTGCTGAAATTACAGGGTGAGCCACCGAGCCTGGCCAGTCTTTCTGACCTTCCCACACCCACCTTCGCACTCATATCTCTGCTCCCTCGCCGCCGGCAGCCAGCGCCTCTGGTTGAACCCGGCACAGCAGTGATCACACGTTTCCCCACAGGTGTGGTGCTGACATTCACACCGAAATCTGGGTGCGTGGGTGAAGCACATCTCAATTACTGAAAAGTTTTGATTAAGATCAACTGATCCTATGTGAAAACTGACCCATGAACACAGCCCTCACGGTCATCCACAGTACTATTCAATGAGGAGTTAGGAGAACCTGGGACTTGGCAAGTAGTATTTCAAGTCTACCATATCCTGCTTATTAGCTCCGTTTTATAAATGGTGAAACTAAGATTCAGAGGTATTAAGATAACTTGCCAAAGGTCAGGCTGAAACAAATGGAGAGCCAGATTTCCACCCTAAGCTTGAACCAGCTCTTCCTACCATATTATGTTACAGTAAATTAAGGAATAAGCTAGCAAGTGCTGAGTTTACTGAGATATGTTAAGTATCACACCTGCACAAACATCCGAAGTCCTGTGAGAAAGGTCTCCTCAAATTTATTACTCTCATCCTGTGGTCATGCTCAGAGATGCACCCAATTCAAGAGACAACTACTAAGATCCCCGCCAGTACTCTGTTCCCAGAGGCTGGGCCAGCTCCATCAGAGGGCCAAAAGCTGAGATCGCTCAGCAAGACAAAGGGTTAAAGATCCAAGTTCAAAGGAGTAAACGTTCGCCTTAAAATATTTCAAAGTTAAAATGAAATTGTAGTCTTGGCATTGGATTGGAACTCCAAGCTTTGAGCTGCCATTTGTCTGGGCTTCAAAGAGGATTCGAAACAGTAGTCTAGGAAGGCTTTTGACTGTGCCTGTGGAAATTCCATCAACTCTTTTGTAAGGGGAGGTGGACAGGCATATACTCACACTCAAAAGGGAAGGTCTCCACGCTCAAGTCCCTGTTAAATCACGTGGACATAGATTGAACTGGCAGCAGAGAACAGCTAGAGTCCAAATTGGCTCTTTTCAGAGAGGCAATTTCAGCTCATTGCCAATTAAATATCTGGAATAAGCTGGACTGCAAGAATATTTAGGGAAGACTGCTTGAAAAACATATAGTCCATGGGGAGATTAAAATTGAGCATAGCAAAAAAAGGAGATGGGTACCTGAGTCACACTGGCACCCCCAGATCATGACTTTTCCTTTCTCTCTCTCTCTCTCTCTCTCTCTCTCTCTCTCTCTTTCTCTTCTGCCCAGACTGATGGTTGATATTACATCTGCTGTAAAGATGTTATTAGAGGTGTTGTTGATAGGGAATTCTCTTCATAATGACCACTTTACCCTATACTCAGAGAAAAATTTTTATCTGCTCCTAGTGTCAATAATCATGTTTCTTCTAAGCAATTGATTACTTTTTAGGTTATGATCATAGTGAAATATGAAACTGAGCAGGTTTCACTTCTTTGAGTTGGCTGCTAGGAAGCTCAGAATTAAATATGTGATGCTTCCCACCTATCCCTGCCTCAAGGTCAACATGGCATGCATGATTGGTTAAAGCTCTCTCCTGCTTCTTTTAGGGTTTTGCCTAATTGGCAACGAACTTTTTGGATTTGTCTAACTTTTTGGATTGTCCAGTCACTGAATCCCTTTAAAATATATCATAATATTTTTTCCTCTTCATGGATGTGAATTTAATCAGCATTTGTTCAAGGTCAGCCTGTTGGGCAGAAGCAAACCAGCAGGCAGGGAAAGGCAAGTAGTTGTGTTAAAGTGTACAGGTGGCAGACTGAGCCTTTCACCAAGGCATGGAGAGATGGCTTCTCCATTCATGTGTATTGAAAGTAATTAACCACCCACTACAGAGCTCCTCCAGGGCTGCCAGGGACTACAGGGCCCAGCAGCCCCTCTAAGTGGAAAGCTAAGACCCTCTGTGGTGATGTCTACTCCTTTCCCACATGATGCCATTTCATTCCAGGCTTGAGAGAATTACATGAACCCCTTCTCTCCAGAACTTATCTGACCTAACTTCTAGTGTCTTAGGGCACTGCCCCCCAGGAGGTTACATGATGACCATAGATTAATCATTAACTTTTTAAAAAGTCGCTGTCAGCTAAAGGTTAATCAGTTGGCATGTAAACTCTCTCAATAGCACCACCTCTTCTCCAGAGGACAAAGACATTAGAGCTGGTGGCTGGTCAGGGAGGAGGGTGTCACAAAAAACTCCACAGATATTAGTAGTTAGAAATTCTGCACAGCCAGGCTCAGTGGCTCAGCCTGTAATCTCGCACTTTGGGAGGCTGAGATGAGTGTATTGCCTGAGCCTGAGGGTTCAAGACCACCTAGGCAACTTGGCGAGACCTCATCTCTACAATAAATCAAAAAATCAACCAGGCGTGGAAGCTTGTGCCTGTAATTACGGCTACTCAGAAGGCTGAGGCGGAAGGATCACCCAAGCCCGGCAGACCGAGGTTGCAGTGGCCGCTCCTGGCCACTGCACTCCAGTCTGTCCAGTCTGGGTGACAGAGTGAGACTCCGACTTAAAAAAAAAAAAGAAATTCTGCATAAACACAAAGCTAGTCCTAGAGATATACAAGCCTTAATCTCACTAAAAGTGAAATACATCTCTAGTAAATGCTGCTCATGAGAAGGTGAATACTTGGAATAAAACATTGAGAAAAAATGATTACTATATCTAGCATCTAGTAATTTCTATTCCTTAAAAGTGTGGTGTAACACAAATGTATTGCTGAACACCCAACATTTAAGATCCATGCATCCTATTGTATGCAAAATATACCTCAATTAAAACCAAAAGAGGGCACATTCATGTTCATAGCAGCATTATTCACAATAGCTAAAAGTAGAATCAATCCAGCATCTATCCATGGATAAATGGATAAACACTATATATTATATACAGACATACAGTAAAATTTATTCAGTCTTAAAATGAGCACTGAGGACATTATGCTAAGTGAAAAAACCAGCCACCAAAGGACAAATACTGTATGATTCCACTTATCTGAGGTACCAGAGTAGTCAAGACAGAAAACAGAATGTGGTTGCCAGGGACTAGTGGTAGGAGAAAACGAGGAGTTGTTTAATGGGTATAAAGTTTCAGTTTTGCCGGATGAAAAGAGATCTTGGGTTGGGTGACACAGCAATGTGAATGTACTTCACACTACTGAACGGTATGCTTTAAAATGGTTAAATTTTTTGCCACAATTTGGAAAAAATAAAAAAGGGTTTGAAATGTATACCTTGATCCCATTAAATCAGGAATGACAAAAAAGTTTGAATTCTCTCGCCAACTCTAATTAATTACTAGTGGTTGCCTGAAGTACCACCATCTTGGTGGGGGTGAGGAGGGGAGAGATTTGATAGCTGTGATGCAGATTATCCAGAGTGCTGTGATTGATTAGTGATGTCTGCTGTGGGCCCCCTGGGTGGTACATGGAAGTAGAGAGTTGGTGGAGAGGAGGCACACACACCACCTGTTTATTGAGCCTGCAACATTCCTGTTGAGGGCAGGAACCTAGAACCATTTAATGGGATACAAACATTCACTGAAACAACTAGACTTATTCATAGCAAGAGTAAAAAAAATGATCTGCACAGTGTACTTACAGTTTTTCAGGATTGTTTGCATTGCACACTTCAGCATGGCCATTGCAAACACACCGCCCACCAATGCTGATATCCTTTATGCTGTAATAATACTGTACAACAGAACACAGCACGTGTTGGCTTTACTGAACAGCAACATAAACTTTCTCTTCCTAATCTCTAACCCACACCTGTGTTGACTCTGCTTCCCTTTTAAAATTTTGGACCCTTGAGCCACTTTTCCTTGCCTCTCTCCATATAAAACGAAGCCACATTTGGATGTAACTTGCCTTACAAAATAAATGCATTTCTCAATCAAACTGAATACCATACCACTGAATGTGTCTAATTTTAAAATTCAGCTGCTTTAAGTTCATGGAGGGAAATGGCCTTAGAAAAGAATTAGATCCTACAGCCTACTGGAAAAGGATTAAGTGCCTCCAAATTTATTTTGTCTGTAAATAAAGATGGTTTTATTTTACAACAGGAAATTTAAAAATGGAATGGATTGTATACATTGAACACATCAATTTACCCAAAATAAATTTTTATGCCAAAAATGTTGCATCTGTTATGTGCAAAATACTGCCCCAGGCTCCAGGAAGGGAGAAGGTATTTGCAAAGGTAGATCAGATACAGCCCAGAGACTGGCAGGGGCCACCGGTAGTTGCCGAAGTTTTGCTAACTCAGGGTCAAAAAGGTTAGAGTAAGAGGCCAGACAGAGGGCGCTTCAGGTTCGGCTGAGCATCAGCCCTTAAACATGGCCACAGATATGTGTAGGGCCTCTCATTCGCAAGCACTGCTCTCATGTATTGGGGACCTCTTCACTGGGAACAATAGGCCCGCCCCTCTGCCAGCTCCCTTCCTTCTCAGACTTGGCAGGAGACAGTGCAGGAATTGGTGAGGAGTGTGGGGGCTATGGAACAGTCTTTCTCATTGAGGCCATGCTGCCAGTGAGAATTCCTGTCAGTGAGGAAGTCTTTGAATTCACAAGGATAAGAGGGTGTTTGTAACTTTGTTGTTCTTGTTGTGGAGGGTAGTCATCCTAAAGAGCCCTATTCATTTGATGTTGGGGTTCTGTTCTGACTCCCTAATTAAAAACTGTTAAAGTGTCAAAGATTCTTGGCAACATCTTACTTAGTCTGGAGACATTAGCAGCCCCTCTTGCTAATACCGGATAAAGTCAGTATTACCAGGGTTTTCTGTGACAAGTTGACACTCAGAGACTTTCCTGCTGACCACTATGGAAGTTTTTCTCTACATGTGTTAAGGGCAGCAGCAGTAAGAGAGAGAAACACTCAGTCAGCCTTCACCCAGCAGTACACGAGACCTGTGTGATAAGAGAGCTGGTAGCATACTACTCTATTAAAGAAGTAACTTAGATTTGGGGTTGTCAAGACTGTATACGTAGCATACTCTTTAAAAAAAATTACTTGCTGGGTGCAGTGGCTCACGCCTGTAATCTCAGCATTTTGGGAGGCTGAGGTGAGAGGATTCCTTGAGCCCAGGAGTTCAACACCCAAAAAAATCCAAAAATTAACCAGGTGTAGTGGCACACGCCTGTAGTCCTATCTACTTTGAAAGTTGAGACAGAAGGATCAGCTGAGCCCAGGAAGTCAAGGCTGCGGTGAGCCATGATCGTGCCACTGCACTCCAGCCTGGGCAACGGCATGAGACTTCAATTCCAAAAAAAAATTACTTAGTAGGGAAGCCTATATCCACCTAAGTGAAGAGCAATATACATTATACAATATACAGTATTATATGCAAATCTTACAACCCCCAAAAAGACAATTTAAGAAAAAAAAATTGGTAAGGTGCATTTGTGGCAAGGCTCCAGAAGGAATGGAAACAGACCAGCTAAAGTTTGTCAGAAAGCACAGCTCTCCCTTGTCACTATCCATCCTTGGATTCATCATAGTCCCCATCCACACAGTGAGAGAGCTGAAGGGGCAGAAAATACAGAAGAGGGCCACCTATATCTTTGGTGCCTGCTTATCTGGACAGTGCTCAAAACTGTAGCAATACTTTGTTTCTCTTCCCTTCCTTTCCCAGCTCTGTGGTATTACCTACTTAAAAAGCCAAACCCCGCCGGGCTCGGTGGCTCAGCCTGTAATCCCACGCTTTTGGGAGGCTGAGGTGAGTAGATTGCCTGAGCCCGCGGGTTCGAGACCTGCCTGGGCAGCGAGACCTCATCTCTACAATAAATCAAAAAATCAGCTGGGCGTGGTAGCACATGCCTGTAATTCCGGCTGCTCGGAAGGCTGAGGCGGAAGGATCGCCGGAGTG